TTATTGTGAGTATTTTTCAAAGAAAATGCTGACATTGACTGTTTGATGGTGGCTCAGTGGTTAGCACAATTACCCCACAGCAAGAAGGTCGCTGGTTCAAGTCCCGACTGGGCCAGTTGGCATTTCTGTATGGAATATGCATGTTCTCCCCATGTTTGTGTGGGTTTCCTCCAGGTGCTTCGGTTTCGCCCATAGTCCAAAGACATGCACTATAAGTAAATTGAATAAGCTAAATTGGCCGTATGATGCATGTGAGAGTGTGTGGGTGTCTGTTTTCTCATTCAATTGTGCATTACATTATCTTTAACACAAAAAGATATTTTGAAGAATGTTGGAAACATTCAGTAACCATTGACTTTATTTTCATCTCGTACAGAAAACCACTTTTGAAAACCACTATTGACGATGGATCTTTTTTAGCCAAGAAATGTATAAATGAACTTGGTACTATTTTTACATCTTCATTTAGTCAAAATTTGTAAAGGTCCATTATCCTATGAAAGTTCAGTTCATGCAAAACAAAAATCATGACTTAGTCAAAATGATGATTTATTTAATTAAAATTACGAGATAAAATATAAAAAAATTTAACTTTGAAACTGTCTAAATCATGAATTAAATTAAAATGTAAATGTCAAAAAAATAGTCAAAATTACAAAATATAAATGTTGATTAAAAAGTCAAAATCTAATTTAAAAGTCTGAATTAGGATTTATTAAATCACAATTCCAAGATAAAAGGTCTAAATTATGGTTTATTTGTAAAAAAAAAAAAAAAAAATTAACTTGACTTCAATAATTTTTTTTTTTTTTTTAACTATTTAAGGCATGATTTTGTTTCTTACCTGGCACAAATTGGCTTCCATGGTCAAAAAATGATTTAAATGATTTTAAAGTTGAAATTAGGATTTACTTAATCAAAATTCCAAGATAAAATGTCTAAATTATGGTTTATTAGTCAGCTTTTTCACTTACTAAGTCATAATTTGGACTATCTTGTAATTTTGACTTCAGTCATGTTTTTTTTTTTTTTTTTTTTTTACTTTTTAAGGCATGATTTTGTTTCTTACTTGGCACAAATCGGCTTCCATAATTGCCAGTATAAAGATAACAATTCTAAATTATGACTTAAAAGTCCAAATTAGGATTTACTAAATCCCCATTCTAAGATGAAAAAAGTCTAAATGAGGGTTTATTAGTAAAAAAATTGACTAATTAAGTCATCATTTTGACTTTTTATGCCACAATTTTTTCTTACCTGCAGAAATCGGCTTCCATAATGGCCACTATTTTAACAAAATCTAACAACAAAAATGCACATACAGTAGTTCCAAATGCACAGCTTTCTTAGCAAAATTTTTCAAATATTTGTATATATTTATTTTTTATATAATTATTCATATGGGTATATATCTGATGCAAATTCAAAGTATGTGTAACCTTGGGTGAATAAGCCTTCATTTTTATAAAACCTTAATACCCTTATGCCAGATGCACAGGCTTCAACACTGCCGTAAATAACACTGAACTTTCAGCCATCTTTGACATTAATTTGATGCTTTCGCTTTTATTTTAGGTATCACATTTTAAAGCACAAGAAAATATGCATTGCTAAGCTTCAGCACGTAATGAAGACAGAGAAGACAGAAAATCCAATCAATACACTGTCTGTGTGAGTCCCGCACTGTGGCCTCGTCTTCACTTAACGTTTCTCTCTAGCTACATGAAAGAAATAGAAATTAATTAAATACACAAATATTTTAGCCTCTGTAGGTCAGGCTGCTGTACAGACTGCTAATTGTTGTTGAAAACCAAACGGCTGTTGATTGGATGCTTTTTTATCTAATGTCTTTGTGTAATGCAAACCTCATTACAGAAAATGTAGACATGCGCTTGCATCTGTATGCGTTAGTTTCCAGAAACGAAATAAATGCTAACAGGGGACAAAGCAATTATAATTCCGTATGCGTCGTTTGAAAGATAGTGGTAATTAAATTCAGCTCACATCGAAAAATGTGAGAATTTGAGGAGTGCGAAATGTGAAGTTGTGAATCATGCAGATAGTGTATAAAGAGATGCAGATCTCCCGCTGTTTACTGTAAAGCCAAAAGCATAAGTACCCAGCTAAGGGTTGGATAGAGAAAATAAAATGCTAATTTCTTTGACAGTTTTTACAAACAGTTGACGGAATCCTAAGAATAGATACTATGAAAAATCTGATCCAATCCACCATTTGAAGAGTCGTTCAAGAATAACAGGGAGGTATGATAAATAAAAAAGTAGTATATACACACAGTATAAATAACTGAACTTCTAGTTGATTATTTGGTATCAAAAAGGGCTTATATGAAAGGCAAAGGCCTCTAGATTATGCTTATTTTACCAAAAAAAAAAAAAAGAAATTACAAAGAAAGCAGGACTCACAGAGTTTATCAAGATTCTTTGGATTCATCTTCAATGCCTACCCCTTCATCTGACCCCAGACATGCTCTATAATGTTCACATCTCATTACTGGGCTGGCCAATCCTGGAACACCTTGACCTTCTTTGCTTTAAGGAACTTCCTCTTTTGTGATTTAATGCAATGGGCAGCACAAAGGTTTTGATTCCTCAGGCTGTTAATGTTGCCATCCACTCTGCAGATCTCTCGCACTTCATTTAATTCATTAGCAGGTGCTACCTAGATATCATTAGATCATGTTGATGTCCAACAAACAATACTTATTGTATCCCTCTCTCTCTTTCAAAAAAATAAAAAATAAATAATAAATAAATCATACATATTTATATTTTATTAATTATTGATTATAATATATTTATTATTAAAATAACTGTAAAACCCACTGTCCTTAAACTAAGCTGAAGTGGCTTCAAATACAGCAGGAGAAAATATCTCCATCATCTACTTATCTGTTTGTCTTTCTGTCTATCCATCCATCTATTTCTGTTTATCCATCATCTATCTATCCGTCTGCCTGTCTATCTATCTGTCTGTTTTTTTACCTGTCTATCATCTATCTATCTGTTCGTCGAACTGTCTGTCCCTGTCCGTTTATCAGTTCATCATCTATCTATCTATCTATCTATCTATCTATCTATCTATCTATCTATCTATCTATCTATCTATCTATCTATCTATCTATCTATCTATCTATCTATCTATCTATCTATCTATCTATCTATCTATCTATCTATCTATCTATCTATCTATCTATCTATCTATCTATCCATTCAGCTGTCCGTTCGTTTGTCTTTCTATTTGTCTGTCATGTTTTTATCCATGCATCTGTCTGTCTGTTTATCTGTCCATTAAATATCTATCTGTTTGTCGATCCATCTGTCCTTCTGTCTGTTTATCAGTCTATCATCTGTCTATATGTCCATCATTCTGTCTATCTACATTAACCTGTTTATCGGTCTATCTATCGGTCCATCTGTCCATCTATCTGTTTGTTTGGTAATCTGTCCGTCTTCTATTATTCCATCTATCCATTGTCCATCCATCCATTCGTCCATACTCTATATCTGTTTTTCTGTCTATTATTTATCTATTATCGTCCATCCATCCCTCATTCCATCCATTCACCTATCTATCTATCTGTTTTTTGTGTCTATCATCTATCTGTCCATTCATCAGTCTGTCTGTGTCTGTCTATTTGTCAGTCAATCTATTTATTTGTCAATCATCTATCCATCCATTCATCCGTCTGTCATTCTATCTGTCTGCCATCTATCTGTTTGTCTTTTCATCCATATATCTGTATGTCTGTCCTCCATCCATCCATCCATCCATCCATCCATCCATCCATCCATCCATCCATCCATCCATCCATCCATCCATCCATCCATCTATCTATCTATCCATCCATCCATCTATCTATCTATCTATCTATCTATCTATCTATCTATCTATCTATCTATCTATCTATCTATCTATCTATCTATCTATCTATCTATCTATCTATCTATCTATCTATCTATCTATCTATCTATCTATCTATCTATCTATCTATCTATCTATCTACCTATCTATCTATCTATCTATCTATCTATCTATCTATCTATCTATCTATCTATCTATCTGTCTGTCTGTCTGTCTGTCTGTCTGTCTGTCTGTCTGTCTGTCTGTCTGTCTGTCTGTCTGTCTGTCTGTCTGTCTGTCTGTCTGTCTGTCTGTCTGTCTGTCTGTCTGTCTGTCTGTCTGTCTATCTATCTATCTATCTATCTATCTATCTGTGTATTCATTCATCTCCTTGCTCGTCTGCCTATTTACAGTATGAATCCATCAAAGCTGCAGACAGCGTGACTTTATTCCTCCACTGAGGCAGATCTTTGAGCTTTCTAATACAGTATCAGCTTTTTATTTAGTGGAATTCATCTATTGTGTCCTCGGGCTGCCCACTCAGTGAAAAAAAAAAAGAAAAAAAAAGCGTTGCATTATTGATATGTCGGTGTTGCTGCAAGATGCGCGGTGTGTATATGCTGAACACATCATAACGCTCTTTCTTTCAGAGTGGCTGACCCCTCTGTTCTTTACTCTCATTGTCTCATTTCCAGCTGCTCCACCACTTTCGCTGAGGTTATTTCCCTGACAGAGCACATCCGTGTTCTTACAGCCAAATACATAGATTTCCTCTGGGATGAAAGCTTATTGAGCACATTGTCTGATATGCTTGGTATAACCATATTCCAGGAATATAGTGGAATCTATGGAGCGTAGCTCTCAGACAGATGTACTATTTTATAGATCTTTACTTACGATATATCTTTTCACAGACTCTGCCTGCAGTATCCAATACTTTTAGCTGCTTTAACTCCAGTGTTTTGTAAAGTCCTTGTCATCCGCAGTCTGCTTTTACCTTAATGTATCCAGCGGTAGGCCTTGAGCTGTGTAAAATGTTTCCCGCACTACAATAGGACGCATGCATTTAGGCATTAATCAGCACTGAAGACTCAAGACGCACGAATAAGCCAGAATGCTGCATTCAGCAAACCCAGGAGGAAGAAAGAAATGATACAATTTAATGTCAAATCTGCACACAGACCTCTTTCAACATGCAAACAGAATTCACAGAACATTGTACAGAATCTGGCTTTGACTCTATATGTGGAGCCATTGCAAAAAAACATACAGAATTGTTCAAACAAGACTTGTTGGCTTTCAGAACTGTCCGTTTGTGAAGAGAAATATTTCAAAGGATGCCAATGTGGAATTTGTAGAATTCCAACCCTGTATCACGGAATCCATGAGAATGGGGTATATGCACAGCTAGTGTTTCCAGCCAGACATTCTCAGTTTCATAATGTTCCTTTTACAGCATCAATGTTATAATGTAATTCAAATACATTCAGTTAAATAGACTTATGCCGAGTTCAGACTGCAAGAGTTTAGCCCAGATTTTTTGCCGACAGGTTTTGAGAAATCGCAGACAAATGCCTGAAATCAAAAGTGAATCGTTGCTCATTCATGTGAGTAACAATCACACAGTATGAACTATCAAAGACGCGATCTGAGAGAATCCCAGATGAGTCGCTGACACCCTTGAGATATTTGGCGTGCTAAATATTTGGGTCTGTCGGCGATTCAAATCATGCTGTGTGAAATGTGTTCTGATTGAAAATAACATTTGCGATTACCTGCAGCCAATGAGAGAGCTGCATCCGCTAGTATGGGTATCAGCAGGGAGAAGTTAAAAGCGCTCAATCTCAGTTTATTTGGATCCAAGAAAAGGAGGAAAACTATGGAAATTTGGCAGGAGCACACGCATCTGTTTGACATGTCATCTGAGCAACACCACAACTGGATCGATAAAGAATAAAATGTTGAGGAGAAATAAGTACATTTGCTACCCCACTAAAGGCATATGGTTGATAACCCAAGATACACTACGTGTTGTAGTTAAATCAATAGAGCATAATCATGCAACAGAACTCAAGAAGAAACAAAGCTTGAAAGAATAAATTACGTGGTTGTTTTAAACGACAGGCTTCAGCTACTGTTTAAACTCGTCTTTCTCCAACCAGGAGTACTTACATTTTCTCATTTTGCCGTCTGTTTCGCTCTATGGTTTCGCTACATGTGGAGAGCATCACCTTCCCGTATTTGTTGCAAATTACGTGACATCACTCGAACGGAGGAGCTTGGCCGGACATACCCCGGCCTGAACCAATCGCGTGGATCGAGCCATAAATATATTATACTTTTTGGAATCAAACACTTTGGACAATGCTTGAGCTAATTTATAAAACCTCGTAAAAGTGTGATTAAGACTTTTTAAATACCTTTTAAGCTTTAATTTTCTCTTAATTGATTAATCAACTTTTAATACATTTTAGGACCTCGCGGACATCCTTTTCCATGTCACTTCTCTTGTGTGTTTGATTGTGAGACAAAGTTTGGACAAAGTCAACGGCGATTCTTCCTACTGTAAAGTCATGCAGTGTGAAACCCCCTGTCGCCAATCCATCCTAAAATGTAAACACATCACTAACAGAATGCTACCCTAGATAGTCATGCAGTATGAAAACATCTGTGACACGCCATCAGTATCAGCAGGCTAATGCAGAAACTCAATTGAAAATACAAAAATTAATTGTACATATTTTAAAGACATGGAAAGGGAAAATGAAATTAAATGCAGTGCTTCTTTTTTCGATCTGAGACCCTCTTCACATTGTATATCTATCAGGCAGTGAGGATCACTGATTTCTAACGAAACCAGATCTTAAACGTGGCGATTTTATAAAGGAAAGACAGTTCACCGGAAACACTGAGGCTGGCTGGCTGAAATTAAAACTCCATGTGCACATACCCCATTGTTATATCTTACTTACCAGATTCAAAGTCATTATAAGGCAATTGAGGCATTTTTTTTTCTTTAAATGTATGAACATTAGGTGTCTTTTTGATAAAATACTGTATTATACTGTATGTAAAGGGTTAAAACAGCAGCAGATGCACTGTAGGGTTTATGTGGTGCTGAATATGGCTATTAAGCTTGTTAGTATAGCTCAATGTGAAACTGTTCATCAAAGCATTTTACACTAATTGTAAACCCTTACATCGCCTTACGCTTTCTTTCATTTTTTTTGGATTTTAACAGAACTTATGATTATTTAAGCAACAACTCCTTTTGTACACATAATAACCCACATTTAATGAACGCACAGTATACAGTGTCTGAAATATAAAATGTCAATAATATTTGCCTGGAATGAAAAATAAAAATACAAAGTTCATATACCCTGACAGAAAAACTGGCTTGGCTACATGATGACGTTGAAAGCAGAACTTTCCCGGCAGTCATCAATGATTTGCAAAGATTTAATACAAAAACACCTCACAAAAGTATACACAACTGACATGATTGATCAGTAACAGCACGCAGAAAAAAATGGAAACAACTAAGCCCTGTAAAAAATGATGTGAGTATGACTGAGGATTTGACAATAACACATTAATTGCAAAAATGTCCTTCGGGTGCTGTTACGCCACACTTTTATTCCCTCCGCTTCCTTTTGACTGACCTTTTGTGAGAGCTTGTCCAACAAATAAATTGTCCGTGGTCCATTACGCTGTGCTCTGATTGTTTCCCTTGATTTCCATGGAGGCCCTGTCCTTGCGTCCAGAGTATTCTCCGATAAAAGAGCCGTCCTCGTTGAAGTGAGCGTCCTCATCACAGTAGTCCACCATGCTGTCTCCGCTGTCTCCTCCTTTCAAGTCGCCATTCAATGAATGCTGGCTGCTTTTCAGCGGTTTCTCATCATTATCACTGTGTCAAGGAGAGAAACATGACTGAGTTTGGCCATCTTTGTTCTTGTTAGATTTGCTCGCTCTAAAGCTAATACAAAACCTTCTAGTGGATTTAGAGGATCTAGATAATTATTCACACATTTGGAATTTGTCACACTCATCCAAATCATTTTCTGTCATTATGTACTCACTTGCATCTGAACATGTGTGGTTTTATTGTTTTCTATGAAGGGCAGAATGAAAATGAGAAACACATTTTTGAAAAATATGTGCCTGTAAATTTACAAACACTGAGCAATCTCATACAGTAGTGCATACTTGCATTATAATACTTAATACTGTTCACAAATGATGGGTCAGTAAGATGTTTGTAACAAAATTAATGCAATTATCAATGCAATTATTATATAGGTTAATTTGAAGTCAGAATTATTAGCCCACCTGTCTATTTTTCCCCAATTAGTTTAACAGAGGGAAACACATTTCCAAACATAATAGTTTTAATAACTCATTTCTAATAACTGATTTATTTTATCTTTGTCATGATGACAGTAAATAATATTTGACTGGATATTTTTCAAGACACTTTTATACAGCTTAAACTGACATTTCAAGGCTTTACTAGGTTAAGTTATTGTATAATGATGGTTTGTTCTGTAGACTATTGAAAATATATATAGCTTAAAGGGGTTAATAATTTTGACCTTAAAATGGCTTTTATATTGAATGGCATATTAAAGTAATTTGGAGATAACTACCCCAGGTCTACGGCCCTTCAGGACTGAGTTTAGACATCCCTGGCCTATTGCATTTGTAAAAGTTTCCCTTTCAGATTCAAAATTTATGAGAACCTGTTATTTAAATTAATCATGCTGTAACCAATTTACCAAGATTAATTTACTCTTGTTTAGAATGCATCTAACTCATCATCATTGCTTTTTTTCTAAACATTAGGAAAATATGCTTATATGGCCATATATATATATATATATATATATATATACTAATATATTAATATTTACTAAACTATCTGTAACAGGCCAAGGATTTTTATTTTTTTTACAGTATTTTCAATAATATCTTTTTTTTTTTCTTTTGGAGAAAGTCTTATTTGTTGTATTTCACTCATTCATCCATTCATTCATTTTCTTCTCAGCTTAGTCCCTTTAATAATCCAGGGACGCCACACCGGAATGAACCGCCAATTTATCCAGCATGTTTTTACACAGCGGATACCCCTCCAGCCGCAGCCCATCTCTGGGAAGCATCCACACACACACACTCATTCACACTCATACACTACGGACAATTTAGCCCACCCAATTCACCTGTACCGCATGTCTTTAGACTGTGGGGAAAACAAGAGCACCCGGAGGAAACCCACGCAAATGCAGCGAGAACATGCAAACTCTACACAGAAATGCCAACTGGCGCAGCCGAAGCTCGAACCAGCGACATTCTTGCAGTGAGGCGACAGCACTACCACTATTTCGCCACTGCGTTGCCTTGTTGTATTTCAGCTAGAATAAAAAGTTTTTAAAAGCCATTTTGAGGTCAAAATTATTTTATCACACAAAAAAGATAATTTCTAAAAACGTGAGGCGCACCAAACGAAGCTTGGTGCGCTTTTTATGTCAACGACTGAATCAGCTGCGTACTGTGCCAGAGTGTTGCAGTTGATATTAATTTAATTTTAAAATATAATAATATTGTAATATTCAAGATTTTTGAGTCATACAGCACTGTTTAACTCAAAACAGCAACCACCATCATCAAAAGTCTCCGTAGTTGTCTTGACAACACAAACACTGCTTTCATTTGATTGTAGAATGAAAAACGCGACTGACGCAACACCCTTTTTCTGCTCAGAGTTGACTTTTTTTATCGGCGAGCGCTCAGTGTGCAACGGAAAAAACGTGATGCGCAGCAGGAGGTTAAAATGAGAGACATGCAGGGAGCATAAGCAGTGCACGAAATGCTCGCGGCCATTTGTAAATCTTTCAAAAAAGGTGTCTCACCAGGCAAAAAACGTGTTCGGAGTGATTGACCCCTTAAGCTATATATATATATATATATATATATATATATATATATATATATATATATATATATATATATATATATATATATATATATATATATATATATATATATATATCGATTGTCTACAGAACTAACCATCATTATCCAATAACATACTTAATTACCCTAACCTGCCTATACCTAATTAACCTAGTTAAGTCTTTAAATGTCACTTTAAGCTGTATAGAAGTGTCTTGAACAATTTCTAGTCAAATCTCTTTTAATGTCATCACTTATCATCAAAGATAAAATAAATCAGTTATTAGAAATTAATTATTAAAAGTATTATGTCAAGAAATGTGTTTTTTCAGAAATTGGGGAAAAATAAAAAAGGGGGGCTAAGAATTCAAGGGGGCTAAAATTCTGACTTCAACACTATATATATATAAAAAACTGTCACTCCCATCAGTGCTTACCAAAGACAATACTCTCATGTTAATTTGCCCTGTTTAGTAAATCTGGGTCATAATACACTAAAGAGACTGTATTTAGCTCTTTATTATGCCAACAATTCAAATCTTGTTTACACCAAATGTAAGACCTAATGCCATTTTGCAGTCAATTATGTTAATTTCGGCGAAGGGACTAATTTTCAGCAAGTAATGACTTGGTCTTTTCACACAAATCTGCTTTTTGTCTTCAAAGACGCTGAACGCCATACATGTTCCCGTTGACACAAGGGTGAGTGAATAATCACAGAACTGTCATTATTGTGCGGATAACTCATTTAAAAGAGAAATCTCTCCAACATGAATCATTCCTGTTTCAAACACACAGTGCATGAAACCACCAGCCTCAACCCTGATGGAAAGGCTAATATTAGAGAAATATTCAAACTTGGGAGCATCTGAACATGCATTATCTTCACTCAAACGGTGACGCTCATGCATTCAGACACTGTTTGACTGCATAAAACAAGCTTTGTGTTTCAAACAGCGCAAGCACATCCAGAGTTCGACCTCATTTATCACTGAGCCGTCTTGGAGGATCAGCACAAAATATTTCAGATTTATAATTGTCAGTACAAACACTGGTCTCAATGAGATTATGAATTGGATCAGCGAATGATTAATGAAGCAAGAAATGCGTTTATTGTTGGCCTGAAGATAAGCGTCTTTCAGCTGTTTACTCGGGACTTATTGTTCGCTCGATCTCATTTTCATATTTTTACAGCGACGCCATTGTTTCTAATGGGCTACATGTGTACTAGCTACTCACAAAGCACCACGTGAAACAGGAACACATCAATGGCATTGATGTGTGAACAACATTGGTTTTGTTGTTATTGTTTAGCACATACGTGTGGTGGTTACTTTAGCTCGCTGCACGTCCACAGCTCGGGCTGGTTTGGTGCTGGCTTTCAAACCAAAGGAAAGAATGCAAAAATTAAAAGGAAACAGTGTCATTCGGCCACTATTTGAGCTGTGAGGGGTAAATGTTGGCTGTGGTTTTTAAATACCTGTATTCACAGAAGGTGTCATCATTTATGCCCTGGGACTCCAGGTCGGGGTGGAGGTCTTCCTTCTCTTTTACTGAAAACACACACACACACATTTTTTTCCAAAATTTATTATCATTCATTAATTTATTAATTTTCCTTTAGGCTTAATCTATTATTTATCAGGTGTCACCACAGCGGAACGAACCGCCAACTACTTCAGTATATGTTTTACATAGCAGATGCCCTTCCAGCCGCAGCCAAGTCCTGGGAAATATATATATATGTGTGTATATATGTTTGCTTGTTTTTTTTTGTTTTGTTTTTTTTTGTTATTAAATGATTATAAAGTATTTATTACAATATCAATGCTGAAAAATGTCTTTTTTGAAATATTTATTTAGATTGCTATGGTATTTTTTTTCTTTTTTGTATTTACTGTCTTTACTGAACACTTTCTACAGTAATTACTGTTCTTTAACTCTGTAAGTAACATATAGAACATATATTTTAGGGCAAGCCTATAACTGCTTTTCATGCCAGCTGCTTCATTGGCTTTCTTCATTAGTTTAGATTATTATACTGCTTCAGCAGACACATTCATATTAACACATGTAAATGAACACATTTGGCTCGTGCTGTTTCTGTACAGTAATTATAAAACATTCACAATTGTAGAGGTCACAGTGGTTTAGGAGATTCAGTGAAAAACACAACAATATTGCTGGGTAAAACCTTAAATCAAACCCAATTTACAGCACCCAACTAGCATGTGCACAATGTTCTAAATATAAATACACTAATGCATACCATGTGTTAAAGAGATGATCGAGGTGTGAAATTGATATGCACTGATTTTCCTTCTTACTTTCAGTGCTTTTTGTTGAACTTCTTAAATCTTTTGGCTTTTTCATTTTTTAAAATCAGGTGGGGCATACTGAGTAGCTCCTCCTCTTTTTAAAAATGATTGATAATGTTTTTATTTCCTACCACATTTTGGCTAACCTGAGTTCTTGAGCTTAAGCACATCTTACTCACGCCAGCCACAGTCTATAGACAATAGACAATACCAATGCACATAGACATACATATAGACAAACCAATGCAAATCACCACAGAAAATGAACCTATATGACCTAAATGATCTATCTATCTATCTATCTATCTATCTATCTATCTATCTATCTATCTATCTATCTATCTATCTATCTATCTATCTATCTATCTATCTATCTATCTATCTATCTATCTATCTATCTATCTATCTATCTATCTATCTATCTATCTATCTATCTATCTATCTATCTATCTATCTATCTGTCCATCAATCAAACTATCTATCTATCTATCTATCTATCTATCTATCTATCTATCTATCTATCTATCTATCTATCTATCTATCTATCTATCTATCTATCTATCTATCTATCTATCTATCTATCTATCTATCTATCTATCTGTCCATCAATCAAACTATCTATCTATCTATCTATCTATCTATCTATCTATCTATCTATCTATCTATCTATCTATCTATCTATCTATCTATCTATCTATCTATCTATCTATCTATCTATCTATCTATCTATCTATCTATCTATCTATCTATCTATCTATCTATCCATCCGTCAGTCAATCCGTCCGTCCATCCATCCGTCCGTCCGACCATCCATCCATCCATCCATCCATCCATCCATCCATCCATCCATCCATCCATGCCCATCCATCCGTCAGTCCATCAGTCCGTCCGTCCGTCCGTCCGTCCGTCTATCTGTCTATCTATCTATCTATCTATCTATCTATCTATCTATCTATCTATCTATCTATCTATCTATCTATCTATCTATCTATCTATCTATCTATCTATCTATCTATCTATCTATCTATCTATCTATCTATCTATCTGTCCATCAATCAAACTATCTATCTATCTATCTATCTATCTATCTATCTATCTATCTATCTATCTATCTATCTATCTATCTATCTATCTATCTATCTATCTATCTATCCATCCGTCAGTCAATCCGTCCGTCCATCCATCCGTCCGTCCGACCATCCATCCATCCATCCATCCATCCATCCATCCATCCATCCATCCATCCATCCATCCATCCATCCATCCATGCCCATCCATCCGTCAGTCCATCAGTCCGTCCGTCCGTCCGTCCGTCCGTCCGTCCGTCTATCTGTCTATCTATCTATCTATCTATCTATCTATCTATCTATCTATCTATCTATCTATCTATCTATCTATCTATCTATCTATCTATCTATCTATCTATCTATCTATCTATCTATCTATCTATCTATTCATCCATCCACCCATCCATCCATCCATGTCCATCCATCCATCCATCCATCCATCCAAGTCTATGTATTCGTCCATCCATCCATCCATCCATCCATCCACCCAACTAACTATCTATCCATCCATCCATGTCAATCCATCCATCTATCCATCCATCCATCCATCCATCCATCCATCCATCCATCCATCCATCCATCCATCCATCCATCCATCCATCTAAAACCAAATTCAAATCCAACACAAATTAAGGTGTTTATCATGTCATTTGCATGTATTTCAATGTGTCAGATTTCTACAGTATGGGAGTGCACAGTGATGTCATATAACATCTTTTTGAATTTTACATGCACTAAATGCAAATTGTGACATTGTTTTGGGACACACTAGCTTATAGAAAAAAATAATTAAAATGTTGACACTATTACCCAAAAATGCGAGAGGGTGCTCGCTGCAGAGCCATTTGAGCAGAGCTGAGCTCCAGCGAGGGGGAGCATGAGCTCTCGTTCTGCCTCCTGTAAGCTGTTTTAATGCGTACACCAACCCCACCCCTAACCCTACCCCCAGTGACATCACTCGTAGAAGAAGTGCAAAAAAGGTGGAGCTCAAGCTTAAGCTCCCCCTCGCTGGAGCTCAGCTCGCCCAAATGGCTCTGCAGCGAGCACCACTTGAAAAATGCTGACCTCTTTAAAAGAAATTCTCAAGTTCTCATTCATAAAAGAACTCTGCATGTTTCCAAAGCAGCTGATGTGTCTCATTGTGTAGTAGGAATACCTGAGTATTTGCCGCCTTTGTTTCGGTTGACAAAGCACGCTATGAGCACAATGAGGGTGAGAAGCGCTATGGCACACATGAGTCCGATGAACCATCCCTGGTTTGAGATGCTTCCATGAATGCTGGCCAGACCTGTAAAAGACAAATCAACCCTTAATTTGACACTTCATTCAATGATTCAATGTTGACATCCACCGAGAACATCTGACACTAAATGAGAGATACCAGGCAAACTCTCAAATGGAAATGTTCCCATATTAATATTAAAATGCCAGACTGCATGTCTAATTAATCGACAGCAGAGGCTGATAAAGCATAATTCTTTTATAAAGTCCACCGAACACATGCTCTGGGATGGACACGAAGCACACCACGCATGATAATTTGATCACAGGATGCTGTTTGCACTCTTGATGAGAAAGAAGAGACAAGAAGAAGATTTCAGTTTGTATGTCTGTCATCTCGGAGACTATATGTTCTCCTCACCTTTGGCCCTGGTCCTGATAACGTCTTCGAAAATACTAGAATTATCAACCCAGCTTTTTGTCATAAGACGCACTGTGTATTCGGTTCCAGGTTCGAGCCCTTCAATGATGTGGAAAGTCTTAGAAGAGTTTAGCATGTCGGATATCTTCCAGTTACCTTCACCTACACAGGATGTACATAGTGGGTGAAGGGGTGTTAGTAGACTACAAAATCTCTACAATAAATATGGGTCAAAGACATTTTGTTTTAGTTTACAAAAGAGATTTTACATACTGTATGTGTAATTCATATAATTCATACATGCATGTACTGTACCAAATGTCAAAACATAGATTAAATAATTGTTTAACAAGCTTTAGATAATTTATTATCTTACATTTAAATGTGACCTCTTTAATTGATATCTGATATCCCGAAGACAAAAAATGAAATGTCATTCAGTCTAATGATAGTTTATACACTAAAATGTATTCAAATATCAATAAATATAAACATATATAGAGTAATTTTTTTCTTTTCTTTTCAATTCTTCATACTTGGCCATTAGCCATCAAACCACTTGTTTTTTTTTTTTTTGGTACTTGGTTTTGGTGTGACAGAAATACAATTTAAAATACAGTAAATCGCAAATACAGTAAATTTTTTTACATGAATGCATGTATATTTATATAAAACATTAAAGTTAACATTTAGCATTTAACAAGCTTTCTATGTATATAAAAACACTTTTATAAAATTAATTTAACATAAAAATGTCTTTGACCCATACAGAGAAGTACCATACTGTTTATCTAAATTTAACTGAGAGTTACTAATTTGTTAGAGTAAAATAACAATAAAAATGTTTTATACATTTTAATAAACCCCTTGACAGCCTATTAATTAGGGCTGGGCAATATATGTGTCTGGTTCTCGAATCTGATTGGCTGATAGCTGTGCAATATTCTATAATAACAGCACTCGTACAGCCTCCTTACCCTTCAGTATTACTCCACCCACATAGAGTGACAGCAGATCAATAAACTCACTACAGTTTGACAAATGTTGCAGCTGTTGGAAAACATAATGTACTTTTGAGGGTTTTTAGATGAGAATGTAGTTGTTTAGATTACAATTATGCAGTTTATTTAAATGGATAGTCCCTACTTGAAATATTTATAACTTCAGAGATCGGCGGCCATCAGCCCGTTACCGCCCCATTCACACGGGGCTTCAGCGTCAACGCTTGACTGAAGGCGTGTCTGAAGTTGGGGCTGAAGTGTTCGTCATAGAAGCGTCAGCCAATGAAATTCAGTCAGCAATAGGCCACTGTCTGAGCTGGTGTATTTGCATACAGAGATCTGATTGGCTGACGCTTCCGTCGGCACTTAAAAATTTGAACTAGTCTTTAGGAAATATCTCTAAACTGATGACATTTCATGCCGTTCATCATTATAATCTTAAAGCGTGAGCAAAATGACCTGTTTTTACTTTAGACATTACGCTAGAGAATCCTTTAAACATTAGCTCTAAAGTGACGTGTCAAAAAGCATTGATTTCTGCTGTTCTGACGGTCAACTGCAGATGTGAATGAATGATGGAAGAAAGTAGTTTCTCTAACAAAAGGATTTTTGAGACTCTCAGTGTTTGATTTCTTTTTGTATATACACGATTATGCTGTCGAACTGTTGTATAAACACAATATACACACTGTATATTGTCACTGGTGGGATATATAAATATATATATTTAAATGTGCTACATTACATAATCTGACTTTTCATTCTATGCATTATAAATAGGTAGTTGGAAAAATACCAACAAATGTAGGTTGGTCTATCTTAATTTATTTTTTAATATTTTACTATTTGTAAAAAGTTTACAGTTCATATTTAGAAATACCAGTAGGATTTGCATTAAATCTATATTCACTGAATCTAATCAAGAATTGACAACCAAATCAAGGATCTAATTTATTTAAAGTAAAAGCTCATGAAACTGAATCGAACAGAATCGAAATATATCTAAATTAATACCCAGCCCTACGAATACTAAATTATTATGTATAATACAAATTTTAATATTTATATGTCTTAATATTCGTAACTTAAAAAAATGCTGGGTAGTTTCAACTCAAATGTGGGTAAAATTGTCTGTAGTTTACCCAAGTTTGAGCTGAAACAACTTAGCATATTTTATTTTAAATCAAAATATCTATTAATAAATGTAAAGAAAACACTAATCAAATCAATAATTGTTAACTGTCTTATGTTAAATTCACTTTAAACACTAAACAAATACTACAGAGAATTTCGATATAATACTGCACCTCAAGGCTTTATTTACAAGAACAAGCATGGAGAACAGTAAGAAGAGCTTACGGTTGTTCATAAAGGCAACATATAACTCTGACTCCGTCTGTTCTGTGCCTGGAATCCAGCTGATATTTGCATAGTTGTGACTAACTGAGGTGCTAATATTCAACACCGCTGAGAGAAGAGAGAAATGACAGAGGGTTAGTACTGTAAATGACATGAGAAAGGGTTGCTTGTTAGACTTGAAAGGGAAAGAATGTCTTTTTTCTATTCACTGTAACATATGGAGGTTCCAAGAGAGTACTTCAATGAAATGTGGCGTAGTTACATATTTTCTCATTTGTGATGGAGATGAAATGTGCACAAATGAAATGGGAGACACTATTCTAACTATAGGTGCAAAATTGTTCTTTTCATGCTCATGGTGACATTCGATTGGTGCAAAAGCTTTCTCCACAAGATGGAATATTGCAACATTATGTTGTATCAATCAATCAATCAATCAATCAATCAATCAATCAATCAATCAATCAATCAATCAATCAATCAATCAGCAGCAAGCTAATCCTTGTAGATTGCTGGTAAACACGAAGATCGATATAGAACTACAAATCTGCCATTCGGGGAATTCAAGAGGATCCTAAACCCCTGACTATTTAGAGGATTTCGGAGGCACCCCTAGCCATATGGGGGGTTTGGGAGGATCTGGCGTCCCTGGCCATTCAGGAGGATCTGGCAGCCCTGGTAGTAACAGAGGATCTGGCAGCTCTGGCAGTAACGGATTTTCCATCACTGCCAGATCTCCGAGACCCCAGATCCTCCCGAATCCACCGAATGACCAGGGGCGCCAGATCCTCCTGAATCCCCCAATTGGTCAGGAGCGCCAGTTCCTCCCAAAGCCTCTGAATAGCCAGAGGCGCTATTTCCTCCAGAATCCCCTGAATGGAGGATGCCAGAACCTCCCAAATTCCCCGAATGGCGGATTTGTTGTTCTATATCGATCTGCGTGTTTACCACCAATCTACAAGGAGATTGCTGATGATTGTGACACAATCAAATATCATTATAGAAAAACCACATGAGCTTCAAATTTGCAATAACATGTTTGCAAAAAAACATGCAAAACAAAAATTTAAAAAGATATCACTTTTTCATAACTCATTCTATGTGTGAAGCTCATATGGTCGTGTTACAAAACTATATTATAATAAAATGTTTAAATATAATGTTATATAATCTAATATATACATTTGATTTGTTTTAAAAAAATCTATGTACATATATATCAGATGTACATCAGTGAAGAAGAAAACCTAGAGCTTTTACACAAATTCAAACAAGTAATTACCGGTTTAACAGAGACAAGGACATTTTTTTTTACTACTAAGGAGCTTGTAATTACTGTAATTTTGCCAGCTTTACACATTAAATGTGTTTTGACTGGCTTGAATTTTGTTACGACGCACACCAATTTCACTTTGAGTGTGGTCAGACTAATTACTTGTCATCAGAAACCTGAGAGTCGCGGCTGGATAGGACACAGCATTCAGAAATTAACGTGATGGGATGTCACAAACAAATGGCGGATGTTCAGATACTGGAATGGAGAGCGATTTAATTTCCATCAGAAACATAGCTGCGAGTCTTCTGTAATTAAATGACTAATTAACGACCTGAAATAATGATGTGCTCGTTACACTGGGCGAAAGAAGAAATAATAAGAGATAATTTTAGACGGTGTCGCAGAGTAATAATTACGCAGTCGCCGAGTTCTGAAAGAGCTGAACACAACCAACGCGCCTTTCTATTCAGGAAGCCAAAAGTATTCGACTTGGACAATTGCTACCTACACGGCATGCCACCGGAGCTGTATCAATCACAGATAACTTGTGTTTTCATCACCTTCAGGTGTAGCAATTAGGCAGACTGTTGTCTGCTGTCAAAACTCATTACCACACATCTCAATCACACAACTCCTCTCCCTTTGGGCAAAAACATGCAAATGGAACACATTTATTCTCAGGCTCTTTTCAGGAATCCATCTGCACCCAAGGACCGAGTCTGTCCTGCCCAGCGCTGCATGCTTGAATGACATCCTCTAATCGGGATGCCTTTCCATCCACCCTGTTATTCTAGAAATTGCGTTAATCATTGGTGCGGTGTGACACCTTTGCTTGACACAGAAATGACGCTATAAATATTGAGCGAGCTGGCTGGAGGTTTGTCAGTCTGCATCTGCCTCCACAGCGGGAGGGAGAAAAGCTCACGCTACGTGTGTCCTGCAAGACTGCTCTCAAAAGCGGAGGAATGAAGGTGTTGAATTTAAACGGCTTCCTCTTATTCACTTAGCAGCCGTTTAGAACTGTTCCTCTGTGCTTCAATAAGGCACGACAAATCAGATTTTGACACTTGGCCACATACACATTACTGTTTGGGGTCAGTAAAATTGTTTTATAAAATGTCCTTTTTGTAATACCTTTACAAAAAAGTAACCTTGAAGTGTAATAAATTGAGTTTATTTAAAGGTGCAGCAGGTGACTGATTCAGTAACATTTTTGTTAAGCTGGTTGAAAGTCTCCTCACATTCCAATAGTAATGGTTAAAGTAAATGATCTAAATGTGTTTATATGCAATTTTATATTCTGGGTAAGGCAAAAGACAAAAAAAAAAAAATAAATAAAATAAATAAATATATTATATATATATATATATATATATCTTTCAATTAAAATTTGTCAGGCTGAAAATTCCTATAATTCTGATAAGTAGCCCAAACTGTCTGTAAAGAAATGTAGATTTGTTCATCTGCACACCTGTTTACGCAGAGCTGTCATTTGCATGTGCAGCATTTTTTTCAACACCTTTCTAAACATAATAGTTTTAATAACTCATCTCTAGTAACTGATTTATTTTATTTTATCTTTGCCATGATGACAGTAAATAATATTTGACTAGATATTTTTCAAGACACCTCTTTAAGACACCTTAACTAGGTTAATTAGGTTAACTAGGCAGGTTAGGGTAATTAGGCAAGTTGCTGTATAACAATGGTTTGTTCTGTAGACTATCAAAAAAAAAAATAGCTTAAAGGGGCTAATAATTTTGACGTTAAAATGGCTCATAAAAAATAAAACTGCTTTTATTCTAGCTGAAATAAAACAAAAAATTATTTTTACAGAAGAAAAAAATGTGTTAAACATCATTTGGGAAAAAATAAAAAAAAAAAATAAAAAAAAAGGGCGGCGAATAATTCTGACTTTAACTGTACATATAGGTTATGTGTATTAGATAGCCTACTCTGCAAATAATACTTCATATGAATGCCATCCTTGTGAATTCATATACATATGAACTGAAAAAAGTAAGAATATTGTTTTATTCAACCACCAAATTATCACATTAGAAAGACTTCTGTAGAATTTTGTAATAGTGACACTAAGCTTTGTTGACACAAGAATCAATTGCACTTTCATATGTAGAGAAACTTCTATATTACAACATGTACTGTATTTTTGAACACATAAAATAAGATTATAAAAACATTTAAAAGTCTTACTGACCCCAAACTTTTGAACAGTTCTGCAGAGCACATTGCTTGACCAAAGCAAATTCAACATGGGAATAAATGTGTTTCCATTAACAACATAATTGACTAGAACACAGGCATAAAAAAAAGCCCATTTTGTTCCTCATTTGCTCATTCAGACTTCTTGTTATGTGGTTTAGTACCTATAGAAGAAAGAGTAGCATTAGCCACAGGGGAAACAGTGGTTTTTCTTGGAGGAAATCGTGAGCTGGATTTTCCTGGAAAAAAAAATACATTTTTGTAATTTATTCTTTTTAAAGGAGCTGAACTATTTCTAGGAAAGTGATGAGACTAAGCAAGAGTTAGCTCTACTAAATAAGAGGGTGCTATACATGTAGGTGAAAAATAAAAACTGCCTTTGTTAGCTCAACCATAATGCAGCATTATACAAGAAGGAATTGGGATGGAATTGAGCTAGATTAAATGGAATAAATCAATTAGTTACAGCTATGACTATGAAGCAGATGACAGTTTAATAATGAGATTGATCTAATTTAGCAACTATATGCTAAATCTATGCTCTCAGCAATGCTCACGCAAGGATATAGGGCAAAGAAAAGCATTATGCGGCTACAGTATATGAAAATGAAATGATTACCCCATTATGAACACATGCATTTTGAAGATAGAGCTCTATAATATGGCTAGAATTGTATCCTCTATTCTAGTGCTAGCTAGCTCTAATGCTAAAGAAAACAAGACTTCATACTGATGTTGAAAGAGGCCACATCTGTTGAAGCTGGCAAAACAAAAGCAATAAAGCAGTGAAAAAGACATATTGCAAGGAACGATGGGAAGACACTGAAATCATGACAACTTTAGTTCATAAGACAGCTTGTTTATAAGACAGCAGTGCCTTTTACCCAAGCATTAAAGCGAGTATGCAATAGCAAGAAACCTGGGAAATTTCATTTCAAAATATGATGTAATATTTTTAAATGCCTCACTAGAGATGTGTAGGTATTACAGAAGGGATGAAAAGTCAAGTTTTTTATGATGCCAGCATGGTATTGGATTAAAAAAATATATATAAAAATTATTTTGAAAATTATATATTTATGCATTTAACATCATAGGTAGGTGCTGTTGAAGCCCCATTTTCAGTTTAACAGAGAGATTTTTTTCAACACATTTCTAAAGATCATAGTTTTAATAACTCATATCTAATAACTAATTGATTTTGTCTTTGCCATGATGACAATAAAAAAATATTTGACTAGATATTTTTCAAGACACTTCTATACAGTTTAAAGTGTCATTTAAAGGCTTAACTAGGTTAATTAGGTTAACTAGGCAGGTTAGAGTAATTAGGCAAGTTGTTGTATAATAATGGTTTGTTCTGTAGATATGAAAAAAATGCTAAAAGGGGCTAATAATTTTGAACATAAAATGTTTTTTTTTTTTTTTTTTTTTTTATTGACTCATTTTACATGCCAAAATAAAAACAATAAGACTATTATCAGACATACTGTAAAAATCTCTTTGCTCTGTTAAACATCATTTGGAAAATATTTAAAAAGAAAAAAATAATTCTGACTTCAACTTTAATACCAATGTACTGTACATTTAGGAATACAATGGATTCACTATTGTTAATAATTTTCCACTACATTTACATTTAGTCGTAAAGCAGACGTTTTGTCCAACACGACTCTACAATTGAGGAGGTATTCAGCAATTTAACAAGATAAGGCAATACATACAAGAAGTGCTATTTATTTAAAGTAACTTGTTTGTGCTCAGAAAATTTAGTGCTAGTAAGAGAGGGAGAGAGAGAAAGAGAAAGAGAAAAAAGTGCTTATATATATAGTCAGTCACCCCCTGGTTTCACTGGGGTTCGTGACATAAAATTTAAGTAAAAACTACAATACTTTAAAAGGAAAACATTAACCTTCTCCAATGTCCTCTTTTCCCTAACTGTTCTTCAAATCAACTCATTTTCTTTGACACATACTGCTCACGTTTAAGTCTACAGCAGCCGATTGTTTCCTATTGACATATAAAGATATCTCGCCTCGCATCAGAGCACTCATTTATTTTCTTGACTGTTTCCTATTACTCTGCGAATATTGGTACCATGCCTTGGGATTTTCATCTCGATCATATTTCTTCCGTAAATACAACTTCCTATACGAACCCTCAGTGAAACGGAAATAAACAGCACTTTATCAACAATCTGCTAACCGCCGATGATAAGCACAGCTCCGTGAACCATTAATCACGACAAATGTGCTGTAAATTCACGCTTGCGTGGTTTTACTTTTAATACATATATATTTTTTGGAGGGTGATGCTGATTACCAACTTATTTCCACGTCTGTAAATAATAACAATACGACATTTCCATCCCCAAAAGGCAACGTATTATTTCTTCTTCCTTTTTCGCAAGCCAGCTTTTACGCTCAAATCAATAAGCGCTTGCTCTTCCTAGACAATGATGAATGCAGCCCGGTCGCACACTGTTATGATATTGTTTAGCTATAAAGAAATGCTTAGATGGGCATATGAAAAGCTTGGTGAGATGGGAGGTCGAAATAATGTCCCCTGCATTCGCCGGGTCGATGCCCATAACAACAGCAGCTTGGTCATCCATGCCAAAGAGGCAGATTCCCCAGAGAGACCCACCCCGAAGCAGCTGATGCCCATCTGTACTCACTGGCTTCAGGGACGGTGGTGCGCTCCTCGCTGACCGCAGGACCGCAGCCCACCCGCGTGCAACACCGAAGGTAAAATTTGTATTTGCTCAGGGCTTCCAGGTTTTCGAGGTGCTGCTTATTGCTGTCGGCGGAGATGTTGAGTGTCATCAGAGGGCCTAGTTCCTCTGTGTTGTTTACTAAACAGGAGAAGGAAAAAGAGGATATGTCAATGCAGAGAATGGTCTTCAAAATGAATGTTCTAAACCTAACTTTTAACCATTTTTTTTTTTTGAAAATCTGAATTTCCACACTGAAAAAAACGTTAGTCAAGTTAAAAAGCTGTGGATTGTGAGCCTGTAAGTATCTTTATTTGTTAAAATTGATCAAATGCATGAACAGTTACTAGCATTAACGGTATGTTGTAGTGAGGACGTAAAACAAGAATGTAAACAACGGGAAATGCTGTTTGGCACCACAAACAATTTAGCTGCAAATTCAGATTTATCAGTCAAACCAATATAAACACCCACAGTCGTCAACAGCCCTGCAGTGTTTCTCTATGCGGTCACTTTTCTTCTGGAGAAAGTTTTTTATTTTATTTTATTTTTTTATTTATTTTGGATAGAATAAAAGCAGTTTTTTATTTATTTATTTTTTTAAACATTTTAAGGTCAATATTATTAGCCCCTTTAAGCTATATATTTTTTCAATAGTCTACAGAACAAACCATTGTTTTACAATAACTTGCCTAATTACCCTTACCTGCCTAGTTAACCTAATTAATCTACTGTAGTTAAGCCTTTAAATGTCACTTTAAACTGTATAGAGGTGTCTTATCTAGTTAAAAATGAGAAATGAGTTTTGAGAAATGAGTTATTAAAACTATTATGTTTAGAAATGTGTTGAAATCTCCGTTTAAATTTGGAAAAAAATAAACAGAATATACACACACATATATATATATATATATATGTGTGTGTGTGTGTGTGTGTGTGTGTGTGTGTGTGCGTGCGTGCGTGCGTGCGTGCGTGCGTGCGTGTGTGTGTTTTACCAAACAATTACAAATAAATTATAGGTTAATTATAACTAAGATGCTGCAGATATACTTTTTTCATTATTAGTTAAATATGCATACATATACACTGAAGTTTTTATGTCATGTGTAATTTCTGCAAACCAATACAATTTATTTGATAAAAAATATTTTCAAAATAGAATATAAATATTTAGTCTAGAATAGAAAAACAGACATATTTTAAGATGCATACATTTGACATGGTGCATTTATATTCTTAGAAATAAATCTTCCAAACAATACAATACTTTTTTTGTTCCCTGATAACCTTTTTTTTGTGTGTGTGTGTGATGAACTTTTTGATATATTTAGATTAGCCAGTCTGACAAAATGACATGTTGTGGAATGCGAATCTTATAATAGTGTGACTAAACTCTGCAAACTCAACGCCTCCTTCTTTATCACTGCCTGTTTAGCTCCGCCCACCGATTCATGCATAAGTAAAGAAATAACAAGGTCAATGCAGATTCTGCTGTAAAGGCACAATTCAAAGCAGGATTTTCAGAAAAGTTGAAACTAAAAGATGATGCTGTGCTGACAATATTGGATCTGACAGAAATGTTGTACCAAACAAGAGCTTTTTTTTTTTTTTTTTTGTAACGTATTCACTATTGCTTTGCTTGTTATTACTGATTGATATATACTCAGTATATATGCAGAATTCTGTTAAATTGAAATATACAGATGGTAAAAGGAAGAGAACAATGTGCAGGAAAGTGACGTGTTCATCATGTGTTATGGTTGGTCGCTCAGCTGGACGGGTAAAGGGAAGGCCGTGTCATTGAAATGTCAGACGTGTTTAGTCAGCCAGAGGTCATATACACTTTTTTTTCTTCCTAACACAGACTGACAGTCTGCACTAGGAATGTCACAATACACAAGTTTCAGTAGTGGATGACAATAAGCTTGTCACAACACTATGACTTATCATGCAATTTATGTTGTTTAGATGTGTTTTCGCACAGATGGCATATTGTGGTTATTGGGTGTTACCATATACGGGAAGCGCATCCACTGCGTAAAAACTTGGTGGATAAGTTGGCGGTTCATTCCGCTGTGGCGACCCCGGATTGATGGAGGGACTAAGCCGACAAGAAAATGAATATATATCCAAGAATTTTTTTTTTTCCGTTTGGACATTTTTAATAATGTCCAAGTATTTTTTATTGTTATTTAATATGAAAATAAAATAAATAAATAAAGTAGCCAATATATTTCATAATACATACATTTTGTTAATAAATGTTAAATAAAAATAAACCAAACCACTGGATTTTTTCGATGGAAATATAATTTGTGAAATTGCAATTAACTGTAAAAAAAACTGTTTTAATTTTATTATATTTTTAAAATACTATTTATGCCTGTGATAGTAAATCAGAAATATTTTAGAAGTCATTACTCCTAAAATAAGTTTTCAGTGCCATACAACCATTTTTGGTTCAGTTAACAATAATTTAAGCAATTATTTGTAAACAGTTAGCAAGAACTACATGAAGATAATTTATTTGGAAATATCTGTTAAATATTGTGACACAATTTTTAATTTTATTTACTTGTATTTTATTTGTATTTTTAAATTAAATTAAATTAAATTAAATTAAATTAAATTAAATTAAATTAAATTAAATTAAATTAAATTAAATTATCTTCAGCTTAATCACTTTATTCATCCGGGGTCGCCATAGCAGAATGAACGCCAACTTATCCAGCATATATTTTACGCATATGGTTAACACAGTACTGGGAAAGACTCATACACTCTTATTTACACACCCACTACGGCCAATTCACCTATCCCGCATGTCTTTTGACTTCGAAGCACCCGGAGTAAACCCACGCAAATTTTTATTTTATTTTATTTTATTTTATTTTATTTTATTTTATTTTATTTTAATATCACAAAAAAGTGCTTGCATTAATGACCCTGGTAAGAACTCCATTTGCTATTTGTATGCACATAGATTACACCAAGGCTTAATTTAAATGTTATAAACAATCATGTAGACATGAACGAAAGTTTGCATTTAAAGATGGCATTGAAATACATAACAAAAATCCATGTCACTGATTAAAACACATGTTTTGTGCATGCCATTTAAACGGCTTTAAAAAGTAAGTCTGCAACCTGTGCCGTTTCCCCTTTCCTCCCAGTAATTCTCCACTAAGTCTGTCAAATAAAAATAAACTATGTGCAAATTGTTAACTGTATGCAATTTCAGCGTAGTTGGATCTGGCTGCAGGCCATCTGTGCAGCGGCTCTTTAATCCCAGTTGCTATTTTCCATTCGACGGGTACAGCTGTGTGCTCTCGCGCCAGCATTTTACACACCACTTTCTTCAAGGGGACTTCAATGAGCACACTTCAAAGGAGGCACAATGGTTCTAGCAAGCTCTCCTGATGAAAATGTCGCTTCTTTTAATACGCAACCTGACACTTGGCCTCAATGATCAGCCGCAGCATCAAACACAATTAGCTGACGAGGCCTTGTGGACTGTATGCATCATAATCACCTCCGTCACCATTCCTGCTGGGATATGGTTGCGTGTTGAGTGGTTTGTGTGTTCAGTCTGGTGTTTTACTGTGATACGGTGCATGTCAAACAGCATCGGGTGTGTGCAAGAAATTTTATTCCATTGTTTTATGCTATATATTGATTTATACCATTGTTTCCTAAGCTGAAGCAAGTGAGCACTTTGATAGGTTTATTTATTTATTTATTTATTTATTTATTTATTTATTTAACAAACATTTATTTATTTATTTGCTTGTTTATTTATTTATTTATTTGTTTGTTTGTTTGTTTGTTTGTTAAATAAATAAATAAATAAATAAATAAATAAATAAATAAATAAATAAATAAATAAATAAATAAATAAATAAATAAATATTATTTTATTTGCTTACTTGTATTTTAATTGATTTTTAAATTATCAGACCTTTGAATGTGCTAATATTTGTAAAATCTTTGAATAATTAACTTAAATTCACAGGCAAAGCAACTGAACATTCATTAGGTCATAAAAGGTTTGACTGACATTGACATTCAGGAATACATGGTTTAGACAAAGATAAATAAAAACTAAACTAACTTTCTAAAAACTAAAAAACTTTCAGAAATATGTAAAAATATTTATTTATTTATTTATTTATTTATACAATACATTTATTAATTAATCAATTAATAAAATATAATTATATTTTTTTTTTCTGTATTTCAAGTGATAATTAAATGATTATATAATATATATTTAATATATATATTGTTTCAGGGACTTCAAGGTATTTTATATAGAGAAAAAGCTTTAAAAAAGAATTACTATATATATATATATATA